AACAAAAAATGCAGGCAAAAAAATATATAATTCTTGCTTCATTTCGTTAGTATTTCTCTCGAGAAAATTTTCATCTAACAAAAAAGAATATCATATATAATTCTATCGCTGATTATTTAATAATATTTAAAAATAATTAATTTAAAAAAATTAAAAAATAATTAAATTAATATAAATTAACACTTGATAACACTTAGAATTGAGTTGCTTGGAAAAAGAAGAAAATCAACTCAAAAAATTTGCAACAAATAAAACAACAACATTGATCTCATATTGAAAAACAAATCCTATAACAATATTCATACAATTATTAAAAGCAGAAAAATTTTAAAATAAACTAAAAAAAACAAATATAATAAAAAAAACATGAAAAAAAAGAAAAATATTATCTTAATATGATTGCAAGTAAAGCTGAGAAGAGAAAAAAAAATTCATAAAGTATATTAATTAAAAAAAATATAAGAAGAGAAAAGAAAAAAAATAGAAGATATACATGAGAGAGGAGGAGAAGAGGAGTGAAGGAGAGAAGAAAGAAGAAAAAAAAAAGGTTTGTTGTTGTTTTTTATATAAGAGGAAAAAGAAGAGCAGGCTCATATATTGTCAAATGAGGGATTATATTTATTGAGGTATTTTACCGATAGTTTTATTAATATATAATTAAATATTAATATTTCTAATTATTTTGTTGGTGATGCCGTATGCAATATTTAATTTAATTTTTTTTATTTAATAAAAAAAAATTAGAAATTGATAAATATCACCATGACTTTTCATTTCATTAGTACTTCTTTTTGTAATATTTAATTTAAATTTTTAATTTACTCTAAAATTTTCATAAACTTGTCAAATAACACCGATGATTTTTCAATCCTTTAGTGATTTTATTTGTAAAAAAATATTTTATTTATAAAAAAATAATTAATAATGCAATATAGAAGTAAACAGTTCTAGTGCTTTCTAAAAAATACCGACAAAATATTTCATTATTGATTCCTTTTACAATTGACATGATAAATAATATAAGAGAGAAGTGAATACTTTACCAATGATTTTAATGATGAATTTCACTAACATAATTAATTCCATCAATAATTATATTAGTATAAATGACATATTATTATATTTTTTTGGCTTTATTCTAATTTTTTTTCCCACTATATTTTTCTTGGCATATACCGAGAAAATATTTTGGTTGATAAAATTCACTATAATTTGCTAATAAAAATATTTTATAAATATTTTTATTTTTATTTATCAATTTTCTAATAATGAGTATATAACAAAATAAATTATAAGATACCTTAGGTAAGTTTTGCCTTGAGAAAATGTGTAGCTAATAATAACAACAACAAAGTTTACATATCTTAATCTACCTTACAAGTTCAATATCAAAGAATGCTACATGCACATGGACACAACGAGCCCTATGCACCAAAAGGAAAAAAAAAATGACAATCTATAAGCAAGTAGTCATGGCGTCATTAATCAATTGCATGTATAAACCCCACTCTTATATTAGTGACTAACCTCATAAAAGCCTGTATTGCCCTCATAAGCAGGCTGTAGACAAACGTTGAATTGCTAGTGGCGACTACTTGCGGGTTTGGAGGATGTTCGATCTATTTATAGGTTGCAAATATAGGGCAAGGCAGGACACAGTAGTGATTTAGATATATTCGTTATGAGTTATCCAGGTTTAATTGATTTTAACTAGAAACCCTTTTATATATCAAGAGGGCTAGAAAGGACATGGTAGTGGTATGAAGGATTGCTGCATGAAATGTACTTCCTCTATGAAATCCTAAATAAACGACACATGAAACCCTAAACCGAGAAGACATCCTCGGAATAGGTTGGTCCCTTCAACCACTAAACCTATAAAGAGTATGACCTTGCCTCTTCAAATCATACACAACATCTATAGCAGTCATTATCTTGCAGCGAGCGTGCTTAGTGTAGGTGACGGCATCACAAATCACATTCTCCAAAAATATCTTGAGGGCATCTCTGGTCTCCTCATATATAAGATCATTGATATGCTTAACTCCACCACGCCTAGCCAAACGACGGATCGCAGGCTTAGTGATACCCTGGATGTTATCACAAAGAACCTTACAATGTCTCTTAGCTCCATCCTTTCCCAATTCCTTACCTCTGCTTTACATTATTTTCTTTACTTTAGGAGATATTTTGATCTGATTTTATTATTTGTTAGAGGGAGTTTGGAGGGTTGGTTTTATAAAGGGTATGGTTATATGGTGGTTGTTGGATTAGATAATGATCCGAGTGAAAGGTTAAGTTTACATATTTTTTCTTTATCAAATAAATTGAATTTGCATTTTAAATAAAACATAGATGCAATCTCTTAAATAAACACTACCTTAAACTGGATGGTTTTGAGATACTTGAAATTCTAAAATTTCAAGGATGAAAATACAATTTCTTTGATTTTTTTGTTAGCAAAAAATGCGAAATGACTTTAGCCCATAAAGGCACCTTTATGTACACATATGATTAAGGGAATCCTTAACTTGCTCACGAAAAATTGGAAGTCTCATGAGAAACTATGAAAAAAAAAAGATATTATTAAAAACATTTTTATACCTTATCTCATTTCAAAAAATAAAATTATTTCTTTTTATAGCTATAGCTCAATCATTCAATAATGATGCTTGTTTACAGGGTTGTGTTCTCATATGTTTAAATTAAAAAAATAATATAAAAAATATTTAAATTATAAAAACTATTTTATATGTAGCATGTAAATCTTAAAATCTTTTAATTTAATTTTTTGTTCGGTTTAAATTTAAAATTAAATTGTGTGAGAATTATTATGATATGAGTCAATCAACTTAATAGATTTCAATGTAACTTAAATGACTAATAAAAAATATGAAAAAACTTTAAAAAATAGATAAATAATTTTTTAATATGAAACAATGACTTTGAATCAACAAGGACTTTATAAGTTAATTTGTTAAATCTTCAATCTAGATTGTGTACTTTATTAGATTTAAGAGTTTTTTTTAATATTTATTACTTTATTATATACTATAATAAAAAATAGATAATCGTAAAACTAAATATAAAATCAAGTATAAATTAAATATTAAGATATTTATTTGAGATGGTATAATTTTATTAAAATCTGAAATAAATTGTGAAAATAAATTTAAAATCAAGCAAATATTCAAAAAAAAACAAAAAAGAAAAAAGTCACCTCTTTCTTATATTAACAGTGAAGGAGGTGACATGTTAATCCTTTTAATATATTAAGTAATAAGTAATTCTTTTTTGGTAAGGAACCAAGTAAATGGCTTCATCGTTTGGGATCGCAAGTTTATGTGTCAATTAACGAGGTGCATAATAAAAACACAGGATCTGTGTTGATCTTGGTTCCATAATAAAATAATGGAGGGCGTCTTCATCAAATTTGTTAACGTTGTAGATATTTAAGCCCATTAAACTTCCCTTATTACAGTTTTAGGCCCATTAAACTTAAGAACAGCTTCCCCTGGTAAAATTCCAACAAAAATCCTAACGGTAAAGGCAGTTGAAGCATCTCTATCCTCCTCCATTGGAAACATTTGTATTGACGTAACCCCAAAATTCTTCATTTAAGAACTTCAAATGCTTTCTCTTTTTGATGAATCAACCAAAAATCTTTGCTTGCAAGTTGTGAAGCATTCTTCGATATTGCATTCATACAAGCAACCCAATTTCAAACTATCATCTGATTGATAGTTTCAACTTTCATGAACGGAAGACATGTCTTCAGCAATTCTTCTGTCCTGGAAAATTCCCAAGAATTGAGAAGCAAACCGCAGGTCAACAAGACAAAATGAGATTGGAAAACCCAATAAAAAGCAACAACCATTTCACTGAGATCAACATTGAAGACAGCAAATCGAACATTTCAATTTAATTTCCAGTATGAATGATCAACATGATTCTGGTTCGGCCACTGGCGATGCATCCAAGCCAGGAGCGGCAGCTTTCGGATTCTTACTTCACGCCTAGAATCCCGAAATTCCAGATGAGTATATATGGCAGGCCAAAATCAAAACATAGATCAAGCTCAAAGTGGGAGAGTATGACGGAGAAGATGACCACGGAACAAAACCATATGTTATTTCCCCTTTTTTTTTTTTTTTTTGATAAGCAACTAAATCCACCTTTTCTGTCTTTGAATTTCCGGATCAACACTCAAATTCAATTTTACTTTAGCCATAAATCGTTTTAGTGGTGTGAATGATTAATCTTGTTACTGATTTCAAACAAATTCTCAGTGGGCAAAAAGAACCCAGTTTGAGAAGTTGAATCAGGAGATTAAGCTAATCAAGATGGAAAACAGTACTTTAACCATAAATCGTTTTAGCGGCGCAAATGATTTTGAGTATCGAGAGAGAGATACATGACTTTAACCATAAATCTTGTTACTAATTTCATACAATTTCTCAGTGGGCAAAGAGAACCCAGTTTGAAAGGTAGAATCAGGAGATTAAAGCTAATCAAGAGGGGAAACACAAATACGAAGAAATAAGAGCTTTTCATATAGAACAAGTATCGAGAGAGAGATACATGACGTTTTGCAAGCGGAGGAATCAGATATCTACCACTACTTGTAAAGCTGAAGCCTAATGCCTATCAAACCACATACCCAAGAA